TAGATCTAGGACATACTTTCTCTGAGAAATGAAGATACCCTTTTGTGAGCGAGCAACTTCAATTCCAAGAAAGTATTCAGAGGGCCTAGATCTTTCATCTCAAACTAAGTAGCAAGAAATCCCTTCAATCTTTGAATTTCATCTTTCCAATCACCAGTGATAACTATATCATCAACATACACTATTAGGGCTGCAATTTTCCCTTCCTCTCTTTTCACAAACAATGTATGGTCAGATTGGCATTGCTTGTAGCCCTTTTGTTGTACAACTACCTGGAATCTGCTGAACCAAGCTCTTGGTGATTGTTTCAGGCCATATAAAGACCTTTTTAACTTGCATACCTTTTTAACTTCTTCTTCTAGATCACCATTTAGAAATGCATTCTTGATGTCCAATTGGTGAAGGTCCCAATTGAAATTAGTAGCTAAAGAGAAGAGAACCCTAATGGAGTCCATTTTAGCAACTGGTGCAAAAGTTTTTGCATAATCCACCCCATACACTTGAGTGAACCCTTTAGCCACTAGATGAGCTTTATACCTTTCCATTGTGCCATCAGCCTTATGTTTCACTGTAAATACCCATTTACATCCAACTGGTTCTTTTCCCTCAGGAAGATCCACCAATTCCCATGTACCATTTTTATGTAATGCATTAATCTCTTTATTCATTGCATTTGTCCATTCAGGCACTAAGGGAGCTTCTGCCACATTCTTAGGAGTAGGGACACTGTCAATGGAAGAGAGGAATGCCCGAAAGGAAGGTAAAATGTTTTCATAGGAAACAAAGTGGGAAATGGGGTGCTTGGTGGTGCAAGATCTAACATGCTTCTGGAGAGCAATAGGAAGGTTAAGATCATCAACACTTGAGGTATCAATAGCAATAGGGTCAGAAATATCAATGGGAACTAAGGTACCTGGCTGGGTAGAATCCGTCCCCGGAGAATGTGATGGCATTGGTGGTACAGCTTCTCGATGCTCCATAGCTCTTGAACTTGGTTGGCCTTCATGACGACGCCAGAAAACACGGAAGGAAGGAGGATCAGGTAGAGGAGGGAGTACAATCTGTGGTAGAGGAGGATTCTGAACCTATTTGTCCTCATGCCTACACTCTCCCTGAGGAAAAACAAGAAAGAAAGGTTCACTGTCAAAAAAGGAGACATCCATTGGAAACATCATATTTTCGAGAAGCGGGATCAAAGCACCGGTACCCCTTCTGATTTGTAGGGTATCCCAAGAATATGCAAGGAATAGCATGAGGATCTAATTTCCCACGAGTGGGTGATAGGTTTTGAACAAAGCAACGACAACCAAAAACACAAAGAGGAATAGACAAAAGAGGAGCCTTGGAAAACAGAAGTTGATGCAGGGCTTTGTACTCTAACCATCGAGAGGGCATGCGGTTAATGAGATAGGTAGCACAAAGGATAGCTTCAAGCCAAAAACGTTTGGAGACATTCATATGAATCAATGAATCAATAGTCCCCGAGCTACTTCAAGAAGATGACGGTTCTTTCTTTCAACAACACCATTTTGTTGTGGTGTTTGAGAATAGGAGCTACGGTGGAGTGATCCACCTGAAGCAAAGAACTTCGTAAGATCATTATGAAAGTATTTTTTGGCATTATCAGATTGGAAGATCTGGATTTCGGTTTGAAATTGGGTGAAAATTATTCTTTGGAAATCTTGGATAATTTTTTGTACTTCATCCCTAGTTCGCATGGGATATACCCATGTATACTGGGAATAATCATCAACAAAGGTAATAAAATATTTGTAGACACTTTCAGATGGTAAAGTAACTGGGCCTCAAACATCAGAGTGAACAATATGAAAAGGAAATTCAGATTTATTATTCTTTGAAGAAAAATGAGTTCTACAATGTTTACTCAATTGACAAGTTTGACACACCAACTATGACACTAACATTGACTTAAACAACTCTGGAAACACAATCTTTTTAAGGAATCAAAGGATAAATGACCAATACGACTGTGCCATAAATAGGCTTGACTCTTAATAGACTGACTCTTAGACTCTGTGACTGCAAGGCTAGCCTTATTCTCCAACAAGTAGACATCATCCACCATACACCATCTACCAATCATCTTCCCTGAGTCCAAATCTTGAATTACACAATAAGAAGGGAAGAAGGTTACTGAACAATTTAAAGAATTGGTTATACTACTAACAAAAAACAAATTAATAGGGAATTGAGGAGCATGTAAAACATTAGAGAGTGTAGGACCAAAGGGAAGAGAAATAGTCCCTTGACCAGCTATGGTAGCGAATGAACCATCAACCAGTCTGACTTTGTCTCTTCTAGAGAGAAGATGATAGGTCTGAAAGTAGGTAGACTTATCGGTCATATGTTTTGATGCTCCAAAATCAATTATCCAAGGAGAGTCAGAGGAATGAGACGATACATGGAGAGCTGTAGTAGTCTAAATGATTGCGGAAGGAATTAATGATATCCTCCCTAGGGTCAGAACCAATGGTGTATGTCTAAACTGTAGTAGTAGTAGGGGGCTGAGTCTCCTGAGTGGCCATGTTTTGTTGTAGTGAATTTTCTTGGACCTTGCTGACTTAGCTTCTTATTCAGATCTGAACCCTGTTTCTTACTCAATTCCTGAGCTCATTTCGGCTTCCCATGAAGGTCCCAACATGTGTCACGAGTGTGTCGAGGCTTCTAGCAATGGGTGCACCATAATTTTTCTTTGTCATCCACCCTTTTCTGAGAGTCTCCCTTCTTAAAAGAATTCCCCCCACCTGTAACAACACTTCCTTTTGCTGCCAACACAACTGCATCTCCCCCAGAATTATTCATCAGATTTCTTCTACTTTCCTTTGACTGTACTAGAGCATATACCTCTTGAACAGAAGGGAGATCCTTGCTTCCAAAGATCTGTACTCTAATGGATTCATATATAGGATTCAAGCCAAGGAGGAAGGCAAAGACCCTCTACTAAGAAACAAGAGACTAATATGATTTTGCATCTTCATCACACTTCCAATCTACACTCTGATAATGATCTAACTTTTTCCATATGGAAGAAGACAAGTCTAAGTAGTACACAGAGAGACTCCTCTCCCCCCGTTTGCAAGTAGGATTCTGCCTATAGCTGATAGATCTTTGCATAGTGTCTCAATTTAGAATAGGTTGACTTGGCTTGTTCTCAAATCTCATAAGCTGTTTCAGCCCACATAAAATTTCTTCTCACTTGAGGTTGCATAGACACTAGGAGCCATGACATTACCATGCTATTCTCCTAGTTCCATCTGTCATGCGCAGCACTCCCAGAACTAGGTTCTTTAGTTGTGCCATTTATATAGCCTATTTTTCCCCTTGCAGTAATGTATAGTCTAATCCCCTTCAACCATTCTAAATAATTCAAACCATCAAGAGGTATGACAGCCATGGGGAAGGATAAATCCATACCCCCACTCAGTCCATTTTGCATTGACGAAACACTGGAAGTGACTGAGTCTTCACTATTCATGATAGCTGGTTTAGATCACACTAGAAGAGGTTGAATAACCGGTCTGTCCAACTTATTTTCCCTTTCACACGCTGTGTTAATTCTGGGAAAAAAAATTCTGCACCAGAAATAAAACAAATTTTCTCTGCTGTTGCAGTACCTACAGGTCATAACCAACCTACAAATTACCCACTGCACTGCTGTTACAGCACACACAAGTCATCTCCGACCTACACACACTTCACAAAGCTGCTGTCGCAGCACAAACAGGTCACCTCTGACCTACAACCACTACAAGGATCACTCGATCCTACAAAAAAGGAAGGTACAGGTGCTGCTCACCTCACATCTGATTGCTTTTCCTTTTTTTAGGTCTGTCCTGATACACGATCAGGAAAAAAATAAAGAAGAGGAGAACAAAGCTTCTGAGATCAGTCCGAAAGAAAATACCTTGGTTCTTCAAAATAAAATTCAGTAGCATGATGAGAAGGGAAGAAAGTAGAGAACTTGATCTCCTTTCAGATTCGATGAGCCTGCTATGGTACCATCTTGTCCAGAACTGAAGTGAAGAGAAGGGAGAGGAGAGAGAGAGAAGAGAGATTTGAGAGCACCAAAAGATGCTGGTGGCGCCAGATTTTTAATATTTATATAAGGGCGACTAAACATAACATAAAGACAAGGGGAATTACAATAGTACCTCTGCGACACTAACAGAAATAAAAACACAAGAAAAAAACACACTTTAACCAGTCTTTTAACAATCACTATATCAGGCCTATTCCTTCTGAGCAGGTCTTTAATTAACCTCCTTTTCCTTGCACTCCCTAAGCCCCTCACATTCCAACTGATGATTTTCATGGGAAACAAAATTTTAGAGCCCAACTAAGGTTAAAGGTTCCTACTTGGGAGTCTTTCTTCTTCCCCTTCTGCCACTAAACTCAATGTTCCCTTCTATATCTGAAATATATAGTTATATTGTATTCATGTTAAAATTTATCTTCACTCTCTTCCTCTTCTAGTTGTTAACTGAGCTGGGTTAGGAACTTATTTTCACACAATTCTTCCATCATTTTAAAATTACATCAGATCTTCTCTTCTTCTATTAGTATATACATCTATTAGAAGATAAGATGAAGGCCCATCTGCTATTTGCCAAGAGAAGACATATCTATAGTTTTTAACTGCTTCAGTCCTGTCTGATTAAGGCACCAGAACTATCATTCTCTATCTTGCATAATGGGTTTTGGTCAAAGATCTCAAGAAAATCAATCTGCCTGCATATATTGACATGTCAAAGAAGGAAAAGGATGCATAACGTATTGTTTTCTCTGGAGCTTGTCCAATTAGAGAAATGAAATCTCAAGCATATTAATTAGTGATTACCTAAATAAAAGTGTATTTATCTATTACAAAAGTATCTCTATTCCGATGGTATTATTTGGCTTGTGAATATTGTTATATTTATGTGTGAGTATTTGGAAACATCACAAGTGATTCTAAACTATATGAAATGTCATTGTCAAAGGTAAAAGCTGAAAAGGTAACAGACAGAGTTGAAAACCTTTTGGAGGAGTTACGGATGGCGAGGAACGAAGTGTCAGCTGTACGTGCAAAGGCAGCAGTATTCAAAGCAGCAACTATTGCTGGCAAGGCACTCGCACTTGGAACTTCTAAAAGGATCAAGTAATAATCATCTAATTTCCTCTGAGCAAAATTCAAGTTCTTATTGCTAGAAAGCCCTTTCTATAGCAGGGGCATAAGTAATTTGGCATCTCAATATAGAATAAGTGAAAAGATGTTATGGTATGTCAAGGTAGTTTTCTAGGGAAGTGAAAGTTTGAACTATTGGATGTATACAGTGTATTATACCGACTTAAAGCCTGTTTTGATGCCATGGGAAAATGAAAGAAGAAAAAGTTGTTTTAATTGCCTTTACAGTTGAGGCAAAGTTCAACACCAAAAATGCAACCATTCCTGGTTATTAACAAAAAATTAGAATGAGGGCATCTCAGGTTTTTAAATAAAAGAGTACATTTCCAGTTTTACTTAAGAAGCATAACTGCATTTTGCATGGCTATAGTGCAAGTTCAAATTCTAAGGAACAGTACAATAAAGTGATTTCATTTGGCATGGCATCTAGACAGGCTATATTGATGTTTCATTTTCCATTTTCTGAAGATTTCAAAATAAGATAATAAAAGAAATAAGGTAATAAAAGATGCATGAACTTCCAAAATATGGTGATTTACTTGCAACTGCTTCTTTGACTGATAATATTGGCTCATTTTATGCTTGTTTTTTTTAATAAAATAGTATTTGCCTGCCAGGGTTCTTGTCGAGAATATGGATGATGTTGATACTGATTCCCTAAGGGGTGCTGCTGAGCATCTAATGGATACACTACAAGATCCAGTAGCTGTGGTTTTGGGCTCTTGCCCGGGTGAAGGGAGAGTGAGCTTGATTGCTGCATTTAGTCCAGGGGTTGTTGGTCTGGGAATACATGCTGGAAAATTTATAGGGCCCATAGCGAAGTTGTGTGGTGGTGGAGGGGGTGGAAAGCCTAATTTTGCCCAAGCAGGCGGAAGAGAGCCTGAGAATTTGTCAATGGCCCTTGAGAAAGCCCGAACAGAGCTTGTTGCTGCTTTATCTGAGAAAGCAGGGTGATATACAGTCTTATTTTGTGACATCTTAGTTTGCGACTTGAGCCTACTGAATAAGGTAAAGTACTGAAAAGGATCAGTTGTGGCTTCTAGGAGCGTTAAAAGCATATCATAGCAACAGCTAGAGAAAGCAAATTTCTTTTCCTGTCATACACACAGAAGATGGATGAAGTTTATATAAGATCATTCTTTGTCATTAAAACAGTAGGTGAAAATAGTGAAGTTGTAAAGAGCATGTTACCATGTTTAATTTTACTCCAACCAGCTTTGCTATGCAGTTTGTAAAAATTGTACTCCTGCTTGCAAAATGGCTGGGAGGGTTACTTATATTTTGCTCTGTTCTCAGCTTCTCACTTCTCTATAATCTTTATCATACTTCCATTGTAGTAGTAAACCAAACGATAACAGAGAATGTCCAGGCCTGAGCCCAACCCCGACATCCGTTTATGTACTCTAATATTTCACAAAAATTATCTAAATCAAAATACAATTATTAATATGAATATCTATCTTGTTGCAAAAAATAAAAAGAAAAAAAAAATCCAGCCATCCATCTGTCCACTTGTGCCCTCTCAAACTCAAGGGCTTTATTTATGTTTGTATACCTAGGAAGATGACAATACATATACCCCACACACGGTTATACGTCTGTAAAGACTAAGGGAGTTCATTGTACGTAATAGGATTTGGATTTGAAAGCAACCCCAAGCCAAGATTGTTTTGTTGAAGCGCAATTATAGACTTGAACGTTGAACCACACCAGACCAGACGACTGAAGTGATTACGTTACAATTACATGGTCACCCACTGACCTTTCCGGGTTCCGATTAAACGACAATTTTATTGATTAATCGACAGCATATCCTACAGCGCATCCCAACCGTACATTGGGAATATCTTCCATGCCAAATACAGGAGATGTTCCCCATGCACGAGAGGCGCATCATGAAAGTGGTAACCATCAGCATCAGGATGGTTTTCATTAGAATTCACGGATGGTTTTGATTGATCAATGCTCTTCTATTAAATCTATTGGCCATTTGACAACGGCTGAAGTAGCTGAACTGATTGGCTTATTGCTTTGTCTTTAAGCGGATAACCCTTTAATATAGATTGTGAGCTGTGAATGGCATGTTGGGCTGATTGCTAAACCCTTAAAAATTTATTATATTACTGCTTTATCAATTAAAAGAGAAAATAATAAACCATTCAGTGTACAGTACAAATACCAAATTATGGATTGCATCTAGTTTTGTAAAATAGATGTAAAAGGAAAAGTTGTTACATGTAATCCCTCCTAGGCCCAAAGCTGTAATTGATGATCTGATTTCTGATGCCAAAATTATTTCCAAGACAGACTAACCCATGTGCAACATCGTTTAGTTTGGTTTGGGAGCAAGATACATAACCGTGTGCCTTGTATTGTACTTTATTCGTTGTCCCAAAGGAGCCAATTTCATGTAACCCAACCGATCACAAACCATCAACTCATCTACAGTAACCTGTAACTGCAACTAGAAAATGAAATCAGGACATTGTAGTAAAGCCCACATAAGACCAAGCTAGTAACTGGTTTTATCAATGGTGGTTGGTGGCTACAGGAGATTCAGCCTCCATTGCATCATTTATTTGTCTCTGTACTCTCTGCAAGTGCAAGGAGAGAGAGAGAGGGTTATCTTTCCCATATCAATTCAGCAAAATGATCACCCCACGCCTTTCTTTCTTGGAAAGAAAGGAATGTGGACTTTGTTCCTTATCACTCCACTCATTGACATGCCATTATCAATTCAGCAAAATGATCACCTAACCTAGCCCCTTTCTGTTTTTTTGTATAGGAAAGCAACTTAAAGCTGAGAAATATCTTTCTACTCTTTATCCAAAGAGAAGAAATATCTTTCAACCAGAAAAAGGCTAAGAAATATGACCAAAATACTTTAACCCCATAAACAGTCCCCTAATCTCCTCTCTCTCCATCCAATAAATACTCATTGAATTCACTCAGATTTTTTTTTTTTTCAATTCTTAAACATCATGTCCACCCCCCCAGTTTTCCCAGGAAACCCAATGGGCAGAGGGTGCCCACTAGTTTTGCAATATGGTCCAAATCCGGTTAATAGAATTCCACAGTCAGTACACTGGCAGGCACATTTTTATACATGATGATTCTTCCATTCTTACATACGGCCATATTAATGGCTAAGCCATTGCTTTGTAAATTGTAATTAAAAGCACCTTTGACCATCAGAAACAGAAAAGTCTCCAACAGCGAAATATATCCATCCAACAACTCGATCCATGGACTGGACGAGACTCAGGATCTGCTGGAAAGTCATATACAACAGGTCGTTTCTCAAAGGTAAAAGATAGGAGCTGTTTTGTGCGCGTACAAGTAGTCGGTGGGGGTGCGCCCAGCAAATTTCTCCCTGTGTCGCCGCGTTGGTGCAGATGTCCGTCGCTTTCCTTTCCAATCTTCCATCCCCAAGATTTAGAAATTTGTAGTCTCCATTAATGTCCAATCCATTAAAGAACATCCACGTTTTCGTGGCTTGTGAGTAGTGAGGATCTGTATTCCACTTCCCTTTCTTTGTCCGCCACTAGAGCCTATAAATAAACCTCTACTCCACTCTTCTTCGTCAAGTCGCTCTCGCACAAAGATGGCTCTCTTTCTATGCTTCCTCTTCTTTCTCCTGTCTTCCTCTGCAACAGCTTGTGATCGATGCGTGCATCAAACCAAGGCTGCTTATTTCTCCTCCTCTGCTCCACTCTCGTGTAAGTTTCTTCATCCATTTCTTTTTTATCAATTAACTGATACCCAGGTTATATCTTTCTGAAATATTTAATGGGTACAAATTATCTTATTGCTTAAATGCAGCTGGGGCTTGTGGGTACGGTTCCTTGGCTCTGGGCTTTAATGGCGGATACCTTGCAGCCGGTGTTTCTTCGCTTTATAGAGATGGCGTTGGTTGTGGGGCCTGCTTTCAGGTATGTGCTGTTTGTGTGCAAGAGTAGTTGTTGATCAGGAATTTCTTCTTCTTCTTCTTCTTCTTCTTCTTCTTTAATTATTACATAATTTGATTTTTGACATGACAGATAAGGTGCAAGAACGAGACCTTGTGTAGCAGAGCAGGGACTAAAGTGATATTGGCTGACCTGAATCGAAACAACCAGACGGATTTCGTTCTCAGTAGAAGAGCTTTTATGGCGATGGCTAATCGGGGCATGGCTAGCAACGTTTTAAAGCTTGGGGTTGTCGACGTTGAATACAAGAGGTAATAGCCATTGATGATATGGAACCGACCAAATTAAATGATGGTCACCGATCATACTCCTCTTTGTCTTCCAAAATAGATGTTAGGGACAATCAGACAGACATGGATGGTTTCAGCTGCCAACTTCCAACCTTTTGTAGAAAAAAAATGGCAACTAACCAACTTGGAATGGAAAAGCGTCAAAACCGTACACAACCCTAACATAATTGAAATTAGACAATCTTTGACCTAACCCAGTATTTTAGGTCTTTTCTGGTCGATTCTTGCTGTCGTCACAACTGTTCCAATTTGTATGAATCTTTTTATTTTTTTTCTCAGTAATCCATAAATTAATGGGCATGAATTTCTTTTGTTGTATGGAGCAGAATACCCTGTAATTACAAAAGCCGCAATTTGGCTGTGCGAGTGGAAGAGACAAGCCAAAGGCCACACTACTTAGCAATTAAATTTCTGTATCAAGGTGGCCAGACCGATATTATCGCGGTTGATGTAGCTCAGGTAATTAAATGTTTATAAATTGATAATTAATAATAATTGTTTTTAAATAAATTATTAATTTCCCTATCATCGTTTAATATACATTTAATAAACGATGATTTCACTGGTATAGGTTGGTTCTTCAAATTGGCATTACATGAGCCGGAATTATGGAACAGTTTGGGATACAAATCGGGTTCCGATGGGACCGCTGCAGTTTCGGCTGGTGGTGACGGGAGGGTTTGATGGGAAGTGGATATGGGCACCAAATGTGCTCCCCTCTGACTGGAAGGCTGGGATGATCTACGATTCTGGTGTTCAAATCAGTGATGTTGCCCAAGAGGGTTGTTGGCCTTGCGATGATCAAGACTGGAAGTGAAGGGGTTACTGTTTTTTCATAGATAAGTTGTGGGGTTTTAATTACCTTGGGGCCGGGAAAACACACACCCATGTGGGCCATGTCTCATCACCATATATATGCTTTAAATTACATTAAAATTGTATTCACTAAGTTAGTTTATATAATTGATTCTTTCATTTAATTAAACTTTAGAGAAAACTCTTGTATTTGGCTTGAGTGACAATTTGGTTCCCAAATGTGACAATTCGGTATCTGTGTTAACCAATTGTTAAATGTCATATGAAAAGACGTAAATGCCTTTTAAGTATCATCTAATTTTCTTTATCAACCTATCCGCTAAAATCAAAACCAACCATTTGAAGATCATATTCACACTATCACAAAGAACTTTGGGAAGGTTTCACGACCAATTTACCTTCTTGATTCAACACCCCAACAGCAGCGACAACCAAGGTAAAATGTATCGAAAATGCAAGGTGTATTACAAAGACAATTTTAAAAGATGTATTGGGATACGCTGTGGATACAGACAAAATCAAGATACACATAAATATAGTAGAAAATTTAAATAAATCCTAAAAAATATATTACTAACAATATTTATAAATTTTAAATGATTGTAAATAAGTCATTTGAATGTAAAAGACCATAAAGTGTGATATATAAAGTGTCACAATTAGTAACCGTTGAAAATGATGGAATAACTAAAATAAAAAAAAAAAAAAAAAAAAAAAAAAAACTAAAATGTGAATGTCAGTTTTCAGAAAACCAAAATAATTAATCTTAATATTTATTTGTATATAAATTTTAATAATTAATTCTAACATTTATTAATCACTCATTAAGAAAAGCGAAAATTTACTTAAAATTAAAAATACATATAATCATAGCAAGTAAATATGTGTGGCTCATTGGTGAAATTGTGGTTGTTAAAATCAAGTAACCAAGGTTTAAATCTTGCTATAACTAAAATTTGAAGTTTTACACTAATAAAACAAAATTAACGAGAGGGGATCATTAATTAAAGGAATTAATGAGAGAATTTGAATTAAGTGCTAAAATTCAAATTTAAATTTAAATTTATCTAAGAATAATTGACTAATTAATGAAAGAAAAATTAGAATTAAATTCAGGAGTAACGACATTAATGAGAGATTCGATATTATATATGGATTAATAAAATTAATGATGAAGCCTGTCTCAGGCCAGATTCGGGCTACCAAAACTGTTTGACCATGCATGGTTCAAACTGAATGATTGAATCGTTTGACCCGAGAACTGTTCATGATTTTGGGCTCAGATTTAGACCTAAAACCATTTGATTGTGGTTCAAACCGGATGACTGTATTGTTTAACCCAAGAATTGGTGGTCAATGCAGTTCGGTTTTCAGATCGATTTTTAAAACCATGCTTATGAGAATGGATACGGGGCCTAACCTTGGCTATTTTCTTGGCATGAAATCACTCGAATCTACATTCTCATGCTTTTTAGACTGAGATTTTGCAATAGCACTAGGCCATCGTCCCTTGAAAAAAAAAAAAAAAAACTGTTTCATTGAAGTTGTGCCGTGATCTTGTGAAGCTACTTAAAGAAGACTTCCTCTGTTCTTCATATTAAGAAATGGTCTTTTTGCTTTAATTTGTTTATGATGTATTGTTTTTCTTTTTATTGCTTTTTGGGTTGGGTTGAGATGGTGAGATTGTGTGTTTTGTATTTCGATTTTGAGGCAAGGCGGGCTACGTCCTCCCCTTTATCTATCCTTCTCGTTTTGATAATAGTTAATTAATAAAATTTAAGGTGACCTCCCCTCTGTTGGCGGGCTCTAGGTTCTTCTAGCCAGTTGGAATCATGGGACTTTCCCCTGTGATCTCTGTTCTAGAGATTTTACAAGTTGTTTTCCTTTCTTTTATCTGTAATGGTATGGTTGTCCTTTCAAATGAATTTCTCAAATTTTCTTTTTCTTCTGTGAATTTGTCAAATTCAAGACTTTTAGTAACTATGGATGGATCATGGGTCTTATCTAGGACTGTAGCTTGGGCCGGGCCAATTCAAGATTTGATAATATGAACCACATAGGGTTGTTTACATTGATTAGCTGGAAAAGTTGTTCACATGCATAGATGAACCACATAGGGTTCCACCCAGCTCTTTCTTTTATAGGCCCTGGTTTTATTGGAATCATCTAGCAAAATCCACTGACCATGTCACAAGCCATATATTAATGGATAAGTTCGTTAATATCATTCTTGAGAATAATATACTAATTATAGTTCTTACAATATTATTATTTATTATTTATAGTAAAAAACAAACATCGTTTTCTCTCAACTGTATTTAATTTGTTTACAAGGGTAGTCTTTGAATTTAAGATGGATCCGTTTAACCTTTTATTAAGACAACTAGAGCAGCATTTCTTAACCAACAGTTCAGTCTTTCTACTTCACAGCGAGAGAATTGTAGGTTGTATCAATGTGTTTAAGATTGCAGAGAGCAAGAGTCACATTGCATTAAGAAATTCCTCAAAAGTTGGGACTTGGGAGGCTATTAAAACCTCCAAATTATTCTGCTTAATTTAGATTGTATAGATCCACTTTGATACTCCAAAGCTGGGATCAAGTGTACCTAAAGGGTTGGTCGATTTATATTTTAATTGTTAAATCTGAGATTCAATATTAGTGCATCTTTGATAGAAATAAGAGAGGAACAAAAATTTGTTATTTTCTTTCAAACCAAACACAGCCTAAATCGCTATTAGCATGGTTCTTCCCCAAACTGTTATTCTGTTAGTTTAAGGGTGGAGCAAGGGTGGGGGTTGTTGGCCTCACAAACTTTTGCAGTGCAGATTTCTTACTACATATTAATCCATATAACCATGACATTAGCTTCCTGATAGTAATTCTTTAAGAAAAATCTATTTTTAGGCACAAATCTTTTCTAAAACCAAAATCAATATCAATTTTATTTATGCACGTCTATCTAGTTTGTTTTTGAATGTCCTCTTCCCTTTCTTTTCTTCTCTACTTTTTTGTTTAATTCTTTTTTTGAAACTTAATTTAATACCATTTTCCATTTTCTTTTCTCTTTGCACAAGCTGACAATCTTTTCAGGACAAGAAATTTAAACAATCTTCAAACACGCCTCAATTTGGAAACCAAACACTAATAATAAAAGTGAAACACAGGTTCTCTGTAGTGAATGTTCACAGTCATGTAGGGGTGTCAATTGGACTGGATTTGGTCCAATCCGATCCAGTCCAATGTGAGTCCATTGTAAATGGATCGATCAGGTCCAATCCAGCTCAATGAATATTATGGACCATTTTGGATCGGTCTAATTCAATGTTTGGACCATCCAATCTGTTCAAATTCATTTTGATTTAGATTGGTTTCAACCCAAATCTGGTCCATTGACACCTATATTCTTATCTTATATCAATGGACCAGATATTGGCTTAATCCAACCCAATCCAACATAAATTTGTTATGGATGGACCAGGTCGAATCCAATCTAATAAATATTTTGGACCGGATTGATCCAATCCATTATATCTTGTTGGTTCGTGCATCCAATCCGACCAAATTGATTTTGGACTGGACGGGGTCCAATCCAAAATCGATCCATTGACACCCTTATGTACATGGGATATATGCAATTAGAGTTATGGTGTTACACGAACACCTAATGGGATAAGAATACAAGAGAGGTAAGTCAGCTGTACACCGGTTTGTACTAACGTCTTCATCTCTTCGTTTTACTTGGAAACTCAGTTGAATCCACCACCCTTATTCATATCAGTTTTGGATCACCGGGAAATCAACTTCCCCACTTTATTTCAGTCCGTCCAGACGGAAAAAAATAAAATAAAATAAAACTATATTGTTTGGCGTTTTCAAATCGAAAATGCTCTTCTGAGTCATAAGTTCCTTGGTTTCATGGATGGTTTGAATCCACATTCATCCTGTTTGTCCTCCTCGATCTCCATCAGAGGTCTTGCCATCATCATCTTCGAGTGAACAATATCGTCAATGGATCAAGCAGGACTGCAGGACAGGTACATATTTAGCCGGCCTACTGGCCTCACTCAATGAGGCTATACTCACCCAAATCGTTGGTTGTAAAACAAGAAGTGTGGGATACTCTCGAAAAATTGTATTCTCTTCGATCGGGGGACTGCAAATGCAGTGGGGATTCGCAATAAACTAGGCTCTCTCCGGAAGGGCGACATGAACATGTCAATCTACTTACAGAAGCTTAAGGTATACAGTGATAAATTATCAGCCATGAACCATTGACCAACTAACAGTTATCCATCATACTCTCAATGGATTGCCATCTACATATGATGCCTTCATAACTGATATCCTGGCCCAAACTAATGAAATCCCTTTCTCTACCTTTCAAGGAATGTTGATGACTTATGAATCTAGCTCGTATTATTCAAGCTCACACTATTTCTTTGCCAGATATTACAGCAAATCTTGCAGCTCACTCTCGAGATGCCAACCCAGCATAGAAACCAAATAAAGTTGACATTCCCTTTCAACAGACTGGCTCCTCGTCAAAGCCGTCAAAATATAATTAATAATAATCCCTGTTAGATTTGTAAAGGAAGAAATCATTCAGCTAAGTTTTGTTGGAAGCTCCTAGCGCAGGTAACATGGGCTACCGCTTACAGCATCAATTGTGACTTATTGTTATAAAACAATTTGAATAAATAGTATATTTTCTAAGTTTAACTCAAATCGTCAACCTTCATGAAAATCTCCCATTCACTTAAGTGTAACAGTGTTTACCTTATCCAAAGAACATTGATGGTCCGTTTGGTTATTGGAATCAAAATCTTTTGGAATCAGAATCCAAATGGTCTATTTTCATATCTGTTTGGTTCAGACAGAAATGAGAATGAAAATTAAAATCAGTAGGAATGGGATTTTATTTCCCAAGAGAGGGGTAAGGAATGTCCATTCCCTCAAATGGGAGAACCTAATTTTTCGCTTTTTTTTTCATTGAAGTGGCTGCTCTCCTAAAGTTACTCAATAGCAACCTTTTACTTTTTAAACATTTATCTCCTTTATATGTCTTGTTTTATATTTTTTTTCCAACTTGATTATTAGTGTGAAACACAAAGTTGGTTTGGGTTTCCTCTTGCCTAATTTGTTGTCTTGGAAATAAACCTATATCTATACTACTTTAAAAAGCATGAATGGCCTCAAGAATATTTT